ATATTTTAAAAATAAAATATTTTAATTTTTTAATAAATATTTATTAAAATGAGTTAAGTGTAGAGTAATATTTCACTTAATTTTTTAAGGAGATAAAGCAGTAAAAAGCTTAGTCAGCTTTAGTATGGAGACTCAACTTCCCATGTTGTCCCTGTCCGTCTCATGCGTCTGAGACTTTCGAGCTCTAATAGTACTTCCGAAGCGCTCGCTTTACCGCTCTCGTTTTCTCCGGCCGGTGGTCTTCTTAGTTTCGGGACGCTGAAGTCGGTCTTGAGGTAACTATCATTTTGCTCTTTCTCTTGCTCTCTCATTTTTTCCCGTTCTCAGTTTTGCTGGTAGGATGACTGGAAAGTGGAAAATAAAGTAAAATTGAGTCTGTTTGTGATAATTTTGTATTCTTGGTCTCGAATTAAGTAAACGAAATCAACTTGTTGAATTTAAACCTCCTTTTTTTTTTTGTTTATTGATTAAATTTTGCTCTGTGTTTAAATATGTTGATTCAGAGTGTAAAATGGGTCTGATTTCTATTTCTTTCAAGAGAATTAGGGGTTTTTGGATCCCTTTTTCAGATATTTGGCAGTTATTTGTTTTCTTGAAAGGTAGTTGTTTGGAATGAGAAAAAATACGCATCTCTGGGAGGTGGTAATTTAGTTGCCATTTGCTATGGTTGGTAAAGAAGGTTATATTTCTCCTCGTAATCATTGAGGGCTTGCATAAGGATTTATACCTCTTTGATCTAGTTGGGAATTGGTTTATTGACTAATGGATAGACATTGTTGGTCCATGCTTATGGTTCAGGACGCAGCTGGTTTTGATGAGTATGGGCAGTTTCAAAATCTTCTTGAAAGCAGAAATAAAATGAGAAGTCCAACTCTCAACTAATTAGGCATGGTTGAGTTGATGTTTGCATACCAAGGGGTTATTTATCAATTACAAGTGGACATTTAAATTTGAATGTGTTCTAGGGGGAACAATTAGGATTTGATTGGCTGCAATTTCATAAGATTTTGTTAGTATTTGGTTAGTAGGATTAGGAAAGGATCTGATAAAAAAGTTTTATTCTGAACTCTTCATGCAAATCACCTTAAGGATTTCAGAATTTATCTTCAGTGGTGTTTGTGCAACATTAAGCCTGTCCTGATTGTACAGCAAGATGCTTTTAGGGGCTGATTGACATTCAAGGAAAATTTTTGCATTCTGGAGTGACTATAAGATTGTTATTATGGACATCATTTGGCTGCTTCAAATTCAAAATGAAATCAGTGAATATGGCATTTGATGTTTTGTTGAATGTGAAAAGTTGAAGTCATATGATTGTGCTTGAGATTGTATGCATAAGTTGTGTGTGTTTGTGTGACTGAGATGAGGATGAGATTTATTTGTTTAGTATAAATCTCATAGTTCAGTGGCCACTGATTTATGTGCTTCAGGTGATAGATTGAGACACTGGATGTTAGGCAATGAGCACTTATGTGCTCCTTCCCCTCCTCTCACTCATTCCCCTTCTCCAGCCCTTATTTTCTTCCCCACAGTCAAGTTTTTTCTATCTTATCCCTGCTTCTATTTGATTTCCTTTTTGTTTGATTATCAGTTATCCAAATGACTGCTTCTTAATTTCAGATAGTTTCAATCTCCATGGAAGCTAAATTCTTTCGCTTTCTAAAGATTGTGGGTGTTGGCTACAAAGCCAGAGCTGAAGCTGAGGGGCAACTCTTATATCTCAAATTTGGGATACAGCCACGAGGTTGAACTAACTGTTCCTCCGGCTGTCCGTTGTTTTCTGCGTCAAAAACAATGTAGTTTGGTGCACTGGAATTGACAAGCAGAGGGTGCACCAATTTGCTGCTTCTGTTCGTAGTTGCAAGCCTCCAGAAGTCTACAAGGGAAAGGGTATAATGTGCATCGATGAAGTTATCAAGAAGAAACAGGGAAAGAAGTCAAAATGAGAAGAAAAATTTGATACTGATGGGCATTTTTTGCATGTTTACATGATTGTATTCTCAATTTTCTAATTTTCTGATACTGAATTGAATCTGCAAATCTGTTTTAGGTCGTATTTTTCTATTGTCAAAGATATTTCAGAATTATTGTAACAACTTTACAGTCTTTTTAAGATTGTTTAATAAATTTATTATTGTCATGCATCAGGATTCATTTGATCTTTAGATGGAGAATCTCTAAATTTCTAAAGAATGTGTTAAAATTGATTTTACTTCTCCAACTAGGAAGTATTCCTTTATGGTTTCATATTCTGTTAAGCGTCTGCTGGCTACTGATTTATAATTTGGATTGTATCATGATTATAAAATAGAAATCTATGAATGGAGAGGGTTCCTAATTTCATATGGTTGATTTCTTATTTAAGACTTAATATTTTAGCATTCAGACTGTAAAATGGTTTTTTGTTTTGTTAATGAAGTTTTTTAATTTTAACTTAATTTCATAATTTGATCAAGGAATAAGTATTACCCTAACCAAACATAAATAGTACCACTTAATATGAGAGTAGCATTCATTAACAAATGCATTTCTCTTTCTTTCTCAAAAAGATATTTGAGTTTTTTATTTTATAATCTGTACAGGAAACGTTGAATAATAGGGGAAATTCCTGCAGCAATAGCTATTTAATAATTGAAATTGTGGTTTAAATTGTACAATATTTTTTAAAAGTAATTTATTTCTTCCAAAACTTGTTTAAAATTTTAAGTCTCTTTAAAAAGGCCAAATTCAAAATTTTTATATGAGTTTTTTTAATTTTTACTTTAAGAGTATCAGTTAAAAATACATTTATTATATTATTTAATTATTGATTTGTATAAAAAATTATAAAAATAAATTTTATTTTTAATACTAATATCACGTTTAATAATTTAATTAAATAATTTATAAAATTAAAATTAATTTTTATTTTTTTATATAAATTAATAATAAAAAATATAATAAATACATTTTTAAAAAACAAATTAAGAAACTCCTTTTCATATAAATTAAATTTTGAATTTATAAGAGACGTCTTGTTCATGCTTTAGCAATCAGTGCGCGCGCCGCGTCGACACATGGGACACAAATTTGTAACATTTTCAGAATTTTAATTTAATGGCAAAATAAAATCTCTCAACCGTCGGCTGAGATAGGGGCTGAGGGGCGAGGGCCGCTAAACGCTTTTAAAAAATTTAATTTGGTCCCACGTATTTTATTTTTATCTTTGTAATCCTTAATTATTTCATATTATTTTAACCATTTTCTAGTATTTGCATTATTAAAGATAAGTTTTGGTGATAATAAGAAAGAATAGGATAAAGCCAATATGAGATAGGAGAAAAAATAAAATTTAATTGAATTAAAATTTTCATTGTTATCCTTTTATAAAGTGGCTGTGCATTAATATCTTTTTACTTCCTCTTTCAGTTTTTCTTTGTTCATAGATATATTCAGATGTTATTTTATCTTGGGAAATGATTTTTGTACAATTTTTTTATCTCACATTTTTGTATAACTTAACGTGTCATTAATAGTATTGGTTCTATTAATTTATGTGAGATTCATGATATTAAATGCATCCATTCACTTAATAATATATGAAAGTTGTATAAAAAAGTGAAACAAAAAAATTATCCCTATAGGATCACCTTTTTATCTCTCAACTAATAGTATTTAGGGATTCAAGTTTTACAAGACAAACTATATAGTAAAAATGCAATCTTTCCCGTAAAACATTTTTTTGCAGTGTTTATATTAGTTTATTATTAGCATTATTTTACTTTTTAAATTAACACACAAAATCATTTTTTTGGTCAAAATTTCATTTTGGTACATCTGATAATGACAGACTATAAGAGGAGATAACTCTCTGATTTTCCTAAGTCTCTCTCTACCTGATTTGAAATTCGAACTTGAGATCTTCAATTTAAAATCTCAAATTTTTAACCATTAAACCACCCCATTAGGGTCTCCACCACTGTTGTTAACATATGAGAAAATGGCCATAAATATTCTAAATCAATCATAAAATTTAGGATATTTGTTGCCATATAAACCTCATTCATTACTTAAGACTATATATAATAGGGAACCTTATTTTACAATTTAGACTGAATCAAACCATAAAATAAAGATAATTGGATAAGAGGAGGTTCCCCAATATCAAGAGTCCAATCCCTATCTAATTAGTGTAATGCAATATGGTATAATTCAGACTCTATACTACACTTTTTTTCTTATATTATATGTATATATATATTTGTTGTCAGTAAAAAAAAATGTGAACAGTTGCAAGTGAAGTGAGGGAAGTACGATTTTAGCATGGTAGCACTATGTCTCCAACTTTGACATAAGCCAAGGCGATGATAGGTGCACCAATCAACTAGCATTTTAGGTCTGGTGTAAAATAAAAGAAGAGAGACAGAGACAAAGCCTCTTAAATGTTGGGCAGACATCTAAGGCCAATAGTAACGCCGATGGACACATGAATAAAGTTCTAATATGTAAAGATATCATCTTAAACTTAAAAAAATTAGCGCTTAGTAGCCTCCATGAGGAAGGTCTTTAGAATAATTGATTAAGTTATTGACATAAAAGTGCCTTTTCACTTATATGGCTAGAATTTAAACCATTATTCTCCCTTTTCACCATTTTATCTTATGAAGTTTCAACCAATTACCCTTTTCCATAAAAAAAAAAAGAAAAAAAGAATTAAGAGTCTCCACATAGTTAAATCACTTACTCTTATTCTATTCCTTCAATGTAAGATTCTTCCACAATCCTAACCACTAAGGACTGGGATGTCAACGGGGTTCCGCGCGGCCAGGGAGTGCTTCCTCGTCCCTATCCCCGCGAATGGCAGGGATGGGGATCCTCGCGAGGATTTTTTAAGGGGGGTAGATTTTGTCCCCATCCCCGTTCCTCACGGGGATCCCCGTTCCTCACGGGGATCCCCATTCCCCACCAATTAATAACAAAGTATATATTTTTTGCATCAAACATAAATAAAAATTAATTTAATACAAATAATTAAATTAACAAGATTGTTCCAAATAGAGATTAATCCCACAGTGCAGTGCAGCAAGCAGAGGGGAGTCCGGCACAGTGCAGTCTAGCAAGCAGAGGGGGTCCAGCACAGTACAGTGCAGCAAGCAGAGGGGAGTCCGGAACAGGAGCAGATCTGCAGGCTGCAGCTAACAGCTTTGACAGCAGCTCCAGGAGCAGATCTGTAACAGCTCCAGCAGCATATTTGTAGCAGCTCCAACAATAGATATGTAGTAGGTTTGTAGTAGCAAGAAGGGGAGAGGAAGGTTGAAAGTGAGGTGAGACTTGAGAGCTCGATTGTTCGGCTGAGACCAAGAGTGAGTGAGTGAGGGGTTGTGGCTGCGTGTGTGAGTGAGAAGAAAAGAAGGGGAAATGAATAAAGTTAGAGTTATGAAATTAGGGTTAGAACTTGTAAGGACTAAGGAGGATGCTGGAATGGATTACTGGGTTGGCTGTATGGATTGGCCAGTTTGGGTTGGATACTTGGGTTGGGTTGGGTTAGAGTAGATTGGGTTGGGTAAAATTTAATTTTTATTGAATTGGGTTTGGGTTTTATTTTAAATATTAAATTGAATTTAAATTATTTTTTTTAATTTTTCGCGGGGCCTCGCGGGGCGGGGGAAAATTCCCTACGAAATTTCACAGGGATAAAATGCCCCCCATCCTCGCCTCGCGGGGAGAAATATTCCTTCCCACCCCGTCCCTGTGACGGGGATCCCCGCGGAACCCTGCGGAGATCGGGGGAAATTGCCACCCCTACTAAGGACATTGTGAGGAAGACAATTATTGCCAACCCACGTCCACACAGCATTATAACTACCTATTTGCTTTCGGATCTCATTTCACCTAGGGTTTTTCTAATTTGTGGTATATGGTAACATTTATTGTAGTTTTATTTTTTTATTTTTATTTTTATTTTACATTAACTATATATTTGGGTTAAGAGGAATGGAAAAGAGGAGAAGTCAGGTAAGGATAAGATTTTTGGATCAATCAAATTATAACATTTTATGAAAAACAAATATTGATCCAAAAATCTTCCTCTTCAATTCCCTCCTCTCTATTCCTCTCAACCTAAACATATTATAATATTTATAAAAAAAAAATAGAAGTTGAATTTAATTTTATCAACTAGCTAATTAAAATGATTTATGTGACATTAATATTAAAAATAAAATTAACTTTTGTGTTTTGTATATAAATTAATGAAAAAATATAAAATAAATATACTCTGAACCTATTCCCCTTTCTCAAAATAAATGACATTTTAAAGAAGTAATTTTGTTTCAAATTATTTACTAATGTTTTGAGAAAACCAATGAATAATTAATTCCTCTTTTCCAATTTTACCCTCACTAACCATTAAATGTTAAGAGATTATTGCTTAAAACAACGTACTAGTATATTGTAAATTTCAAAAAGGGTAATTAGATTATTCTTCTAAGGTTTAATGGCAAATAAAACTTTAGACAATTGAGAAATATGCAAAAAAATATCAAAAATCTTTTTGTTTGGCAAATAAAATCCAACTCGTTTGATAAACTAGTTAATTATTTATAGTCTTTTCATCTACTTTTGTTATCACGGTTAGTAGATTTCTGTTAATTTATTCTCAAACTCATTAAAAATTTAGATGAATTCTAAAACTAATTACAGATATCCAAGTTTACGCAATGTAACGGCCACGTTAGCCCCTTTCCTAATTTTTTTTCTTTACTAACTTCTAATATCTAAAAATTATATTGGATTTTTAATTAATTTGAAGTTGACCTGCATCAAACCTATATAAGAAAAAAGTTCTTTTAACACTTATTTTCTCCATTTATAAAAGTCAAACTTGAAATCTTGTTTAAAAAAAATTAAGTTACTTCCACTCAAACCAACCAAACATTGGTATCCCCTTTCATAATGCTTCTATTGTTCATTAGACAATTGAATGTTTTTAAGAAAGATAATAATTGATACATATTTTAATTCAATATATTATATAATTTACTTATTAAAAAATTATTTTTTTATATGAAATTAAAAATTGATAAATTTAATGATATAAATATGCACACAAGATTTAAGAAAAGACTGAATTAATTATACGATTGAATTGGACAAATATCAAAAAATTTGTGGAACTAAATACATACCAATTATTTTCCTTTTTCAAGAAGGAGACCTATTTAGCAACTTCACTATCAAGAACACTTTGCGCTGATTATAGTCAACCAATAGAAATTCAAATGATAAATCACCTAAAATTGGCTAAGAACTGGGAAATTCTCAATAGTTTTGTAGTAATTAACAACAAAATCAACAATCTTTCTGAGCATTCTCCCTCGACTCCTCTGCATGCGGTGATGAAGATGGTGATGGTAATACTCGCGTGCCTCTCATAGTTTTCTACCCTGGCGGAGGTTTTTCATTCAGGGGAGAAGATTCAAAATTCTTTGATGATTTCTGCCGGCAAATGGCGCGTGAGATTCTCGCTGTTGTTACTTCTGTTAATTACCGACTTGCACCGGAGCACAAGTACCTGTCTGAATACGACGACGGATTCGACGTTTTAAAGTTCATAGACGAGGGGAATTTCGATAGGTTTCCCGCTTCAGCCGTTCTCACCCGTTGTTTCATCTCTGGTGATAGTGTCGGTTGGAATTTGGCCCATCACATGGTAATGAGGGCCTCTGAACACTAATTCCAAAAATTAAAGCTCCTGGGACTCATGGCAATACAACCGTTCTTTGGAGGAAATGAAAGGACGGCATCGAAGATCAGGCTAACGAAAGCGCATCCATGGAATGGACAGACTGGATGTGGAAATCCCTTTTGCCCAATGGGTTAGACTGAGATCATCTGGAGGTCAATGTTTTGGGACCCAATTCGATGGACATCTTCCGGTTTCAAGTTCCCGGTGAAGGAGGTAATTATCTGATATGCAGAAAAACTAATGGTTAGAAGTCTAAAAAGCCATGTGTTTACTTGACTTATTGCTGGTTTGTGTCAGTTTAGTAACAGGTAGCATATGTTAGTATAAAAGTGTTTGTATCTCTTTGTTAAGTGTTTAGTTATTTTGGCATTCTTCAATCTTCTTAGATTCCTTTGTAATTTTTTTGTATTCCAGACTGTTGTAAAGGATATACATCGAAGATCCTTTCTCTTTTGTGGATTTTCCTTGTATCCCTTTAAATTTTGTTTATTGGTATCATTTTGGTATTAGAGCAAGTTCCTGGCATCATGGAAACTCGCTTACAAGAATAGAAGAAACTGATTGATGATATATGATGTTAAAATAGCCATGGCTAAGATGGGTGTACATTATGAACAACTGCTTAAGGCCATGAAGGAGAAGTATGAAAAGCAAGTGTCAGATTTGAGGACTCGAAGGTTAGGTTTGAATGTGCAACAAAATGATATCATGGCACAACTTGATACTTCTTCAACTTCTTAAGGATCTCAAATTTATTGGAATTCATCTTCAAATGCAAGTATGGGGTCCACTTACTTCCAAAACTGCTAAGTTAGAATTTACCAAATTCAATGGTGAAGAATTAAAAGGTTGGTCATACAAATGTAATCAATATTTTAGAATTGATGGTACTCCTGATGAACATAAAGCTCATTTGACTTCAATAAATCTTGAGGGAAAGGCTATGAAGTGGCATCAATCTTTTTTAGAGATTAAGGGTGAGCATGTGCTTTCAAATTGTGAAGAATATGTTGAGGGCCTTAAGGCTAGATATGGTGAAAAGGCCTATGAGGATCTCATATCTAATTTGATCGATCTTAAACAAATTGGGACAATGGAAGAATTCTAGGAGCAATTTGATGCTCTTTTCCCTTAAATTGAAATAAATGAAAAACAAGTAATGAACTTTTTCCTTAGTAGGTTGAGAAGAGAGATAGAAATTTCAATGAGAATATTTAAACCACAGACTCTTTATGATGCTTATGCTTTAGCCTGACTATAAGCATCTTCTATATAGGAGGCACAAATGGCTTTAACATGAAAACTTCAACCAAGACCAACTACACCCTTACTACCTACACCTAACATTCCTTGAACATTTAACACTATTACAAAAACATTTACCTCTATCAACTCTACCAATTACCTACCTCAAACATTAGACCATCAAACCCACCTTTTAAACATTTTAAGCCCCTTACTAGAGAAGAGATGGAAGAGCAAAGTCGAAAAGGATTATGCTACTGGTACAATGAAAAATTCACCAATGATCACAAATGCAAAAATGTGCAGTTATTTTCCATTGAAGTTATCAAGGGTGATGAAGGAGAAGAAGGGGAAGTCTTTGAGGAAGCCATAAAAGAACTTCCAGATGACTTCAATTCATACATGTCTGTTCATGCATTATTTGGGGGCAGTAACAGAGCTTATTGTACGATGAGGGTCATTGGGTATATGAATAAGAAACCAATCCACATACTCATTGATTTTGGTAGTACTCATAACTTTTTAGATATTAATGTGGCAAAGAGGGTTGAATGTAGATTACATGTTGTTAAGGCTTTGAAAGTTAAGGTAGCTTATGGAAGTTCATTGGAATGTGTCCATATGTGCCCAGATTTTACCTGGTCGTTACAAGGTAAGCCATTTCATATGGATCAATTCATTTTACCTCTTGGTAGTTGTGATATGGTGTTGTGAAATCAATGGCTAAAGACCTTGGGTGACACTTTGTGAAATTTAAGACTTTATGCATGGAGTTTGTTGTCAATGGACAAAAATATGTGCTCAAGGAATCCTTTTAGGTATCTTTGAAGATGGTTCGCAATAAAGGCATGATGAGGTTGCTTAGAAAAGAAGTATAGAGCAATCTGATCGTAGATGAGGCTAGAAGGCATATCATTTGGCAGATTGGAGAAGATAAAGTTGACAATGCTTCGAGGAAGGTTTCAACTTCTCCTGAATTGGAGAAATTATTATTAGAATATGACGATCTCTTTGTAGAACCTAAAAGCCTTTTTCCCCATAAAGCTCATGATCATAAAATTTGTTTAAAGGAAGGAACTGACCCTATTAATCAAAGGCCATACAGATATGTAGGAGTGTAAAAGGATATCTTTGAAAAGATGACTTAAGAATTGTTACAAACAGGTGTCATTCAACATAGTGTAAGTTTTTTTGCCCCACTTGTAGTTTGAGTTAAGAAGAAAGATGGGTCCTAGCATATGTGTCTAGATTATGGAGCACTAAACAAGTAAACTATGAAGTGACAACTGCCAACTGAATCCTTGAAGAAGCCTAAGAAAGAGCATCACAGTTGTGGAAGTTCTAAGCGTCACACCCGGACACCCCCACCTCTTAGTGCTAAACGATATGAACTACAACTCAATCTCATTTAGCTTCACCTCAGCCTCGTCATTGTTGAGGTGTTGTTCCAACTTGAACTTGAGCGGATCCTTGCAAACATTAAGGTTTTGACCAAGCGCTTTGTGGTTGAGAAGCACATGACTATCCTTCGAAATGAAGTAACCAGATACTATCTGGTTAGAAATAGAGACATGTGGAACATTGAACAGTGCGAAAGGGTGAAGCTAGAAGGCTTCTTGTATGCATGCCTTGATGTAAAGATAACTGATAACTCAAATAATTAAGTGCTCTTCCACTACATATTGATGTATTATATTAGGAATCTTGATAGCCAATTAAGTGCTTAAAGGTTTTATGTCGTCAATTGGTACCTTCATATGAGTTTCAAATTTTAGATCTGTTATTCAAATTTGAGATTGAGATGAGCAAGAAAATGGCTAATGGATTAGAATTGTAACATTTAAGATTATGATAATTTATTTGTTTATTATATTAGTTTAATTTCATATTTGAACATTTTTTTTGAATAAAGTTTTCTATTTTTGTTTATTATGTTAGTTTAGTTTTTTTTTTTTTACTTTATTTTTATTAGGATCGATTATATTAATGGGAAAGAAAGGAACAATTGAGTCTTTTTTTAAGAGAAAAAGAGAAGAAGATCCAAAGGAAAATGAAGGGGCATAAAAAAAAATAGTTGAGGAACTTTAACAAGAGCCTACACAAACATGAGTCATCTCCAAAGAGCCTACACAAGAAGAAGATTCAAAAGTCAATGTAGATGGTGTTCTTATTGAGCATGACCCCGGAAAGTGAAAGCAAATATATGAATATCCCTTGAAAGAGCAAGATCAAATTTGAAGAGCTTATCTAATTATTGGTGCGTATCAACCAAAACGGAGTGAGTATAAAAAATCTAGACCAATAGGCCATCAATGTCGCTTTATGCCATCGTGGTTTACAATTAAAATGTTCTCATCATGGTTGGAATATTCTTTTGAGAAAGATGAAACTTTTTGTCTCTATTGTTTTCTCTTTTACAACGCGGGAGGAAACCCTAGAGGTGGTGGTGGACATGATGCATTCATTGTGAAGGGATTTTCAAAATGGAAGAAAGTAAGAGATGGGAGGAGATGTGCTTTCTTGAACCATGTAGGAAATGATCCAAACTTTCTCATAAAATCAATGAAAGAGCTTGTGAAGATTTGATGAAGCAATCTCAACACATTGAACATTAACTTCATAAGAAGACTACACAACAAGTTTTAGACAATTGTCTACAACTTCAAGCTTCAATTGATGTAGTGAAATGGCTTGCAACTCAAGGTTGTGCTTTTAAAAATCATGATAAAAGTAGCAACTTGAGCAATCATGGGAAATTTATTAAATTATTTGAGTTATTGTTATTTTATAATCAAAATGTTAAACTTGTCATGGAGAATGCTCCTCAAAATGCTTTGTATACTTCATCAGAAACTCAAAGGGAGATTTTACAAGTTTTGGCGCATAAAGTGAGAGAAACTATTTGCCAAGAAATTGGTGATGCTAAGTTTTGTATTATTGTTGATGAAGCAAGAGATGAGTTAAAGAGGGAGTAAATGGCCTTGGTTCTAAAATTTGTTGATAAGAAAGGATTTTTGAAAAAGCACTTCTTTGGTGTTGTTCATGTGACAAATACATAAGCTAAAACTTTAAAAGATGCTATTGTTTCTTTACTTTCTCATTATGATGTTAACATTGAAAACATTTGTGGTTAAGGATATGATGGTGCAAGTGATATGAGAGGTGAGTTTAACGGATTTCAAGCTTTGATTAGCAAAGAATGTCCTTATGCTTACTACATTCATTGCTTAGCTCATCGCCTGCAATTAACTTTAGTTGCATCATCAAAGGAGATCATTCTCATGTATAATTTTTTCAAACTTGGCACGCATTGTCAATGTTGTTGTAGCTTCTTCTAAGCGCAATGATGAATTGAAATCTATTTATGCTTTTGATATTGTTTATTTAATTGAAAATGATGAGCTTCAAATAGGAAGTGGAATTAATTGATTGGCACCCTACAGCAACCTGGTGACACTCCTTGGAGTTCACATTTAAAATCTATTTTAAGCATGCTAAAAATGTTTAGTGCAACTTCTACTATTTTGAGCAAGTTGATTGAGGAAAGATCTACTTCTTCACAATATGGAGAAGCATTTAAAGGTAATATAACATATTGAATTTTCTAGAATTTGTTTGAATTCTAAATCTTAAAAGAAAATATTGAAGTAACTAATGTATTTTTTTTATTTGCAAGATATAATGCATTGACATTTTTTGAGTTTGTTTTTGTTTTACATTTTATGAAAGAAATCATGGAGATCACAGATTTGCTTTGTCAAGCTTTGTAGCGTAAATCTCAAGATATTTTGAATGTCTTAAATCTTATTAAGTCAACAAAGGCTCTCATTCAACAATTCAAAGAAAGGGGATGGGATTCTTTATTTGAAAAGGTAAAAGGTAAAATTATTCTGTGACAATAACAACATAGATGTTCCTGACATGTTTGCCACATATGTTGCATGGCAAGGATGTGCTCATCATCGACAAGATATTATTACTATTGAGCATCATTATCAAATAAATATTTTCAATGCTGCAATAGATTCCCAATTGCAAAAATTGAATTGTAGGTTTAATAAGAATGCAATGGAAGTATTGACTCTTAGTGGTGCTTTAGATCCTAGAAATGGGTGCAAGAGTTTCAATGTTAATCCTCCTTGTGAGCTTGTAAAAAGATACTATCCTTAGGATTTTTCAAAGATGAAGAAACTTCATTTGCGATTAAAGCTTTGATATTATAAGATTGAAACATGTTGTAATCAATGTTTTCAGAATTTCTAAAATATTTCTGAGCTATGTTAATGGCTTATGGAGACAAAAAAATCAGAAATCTACAGTCTCATTTACAAGTTAATTACTTTGGTATTTACTCTTTTAGTTTCTACAGCAACAACAAAAAAAGCATTTTCTACTATAAATATTGTGAAAACAAGATTTCACAACAAAATGAAGGATGAATTCCTTTCAAACTCTTTGATTGTTTATATTGAAAAGAAAATAGTTCAAACATTTAATATAAACTCTGTTATAAATAAATTTCTTGATATGAAGATTTATCGAGTATTATTTTAATTTATGATATAAAAATAAAATTTTAAATTTATAATATATTATTTTAAAATTTGAAAATCTAGCGTAACTAAAATTCCGGAATTTGACACTATGTTCATGTGATGGTTCTGGTAATTGAAAAGCACAGCTTGTCTCCTCGCTTTCAATCCACGTGGAAGTTTTGTTTTGTATGAGTTCCAACAAATCTTCTCACAACTACATATTCCACAAGACTCAAGGTCCAAAAATAATGCACATTTCCTCTTTTATTATTAGCCTCTCAATTTCAAAATAAAATATTTTTTTATTTTAACTTTAGATTAAAAATTTAAAGATAAATTTTATTTTTAATTATTTTACCTTTAAAAAATAAATAAAAGTAAAAAACTTATAAAATTAAGAAATAATTATAAGATTAAAATAAAAAATGCCTTTCTTAAAATAAAAAAATTATTATTCTAAAATAAATTTTAAATCAAAAAATATTTACAGTATTATTCTGCAACAAAAAATATATTTTTTTATGTAGTCATTATAATATTTTTAGTTTAACTTATGTACACCTTGAGCTTTCTCTCCCCTAGTTAAATTTAATTATTTTTACCACAATTTCAGTAATGAAAAGAAAATGAAGGTAAAATATTTATTAAATTAAAAAAATAATTAATACATCTTTTATTTCAAAATTACTGTCACGATCGGGGCGAATGTCCACAAACGAGACGTCTTTCTTCTGTCTTTCACACCCCTACTCAACGACGTGTTAATTGTTGATTAACTTCTACCATA